ACAGAAATGAATAGACAATCGCATACCATTAGCAACTGATTTACCGTGGTCTCGCGAAAATAAGGGCTCATTATTCTTTCTTCCTTGTTTAAGGACCACTCAACCTGAAATGATAGAAAAATTTATCAAAATAACAGTGTGTTTGTCATAATATTCATTGGCAGCTATACAGTACCGACCACAACAACGTACCTTTCGGATATAAGTGCCAAAGGAACAATTGAGAAGCCACTTGGAAGGTAGTGTAGAGTAGCGAGCAGCAGTATCCGCGATGATGGCTTCCTCAAAATATCTATAATGATTTCTTCTTCCCTTGTTTTCAATTTCCCGAAAGAAATCAATGGCACTCTTGAGCAGCTCATTATCAGTCAGCTTCTCAGCGCGTTCTAGATTAAGCTGTCCACAAAGTATTTATAATTTAAAATTCAAAGGAGAAGACAAATCTTATGTAAGACCACTATATATAGAAATGAAATTTCAACAAACCAAGTAAATGACTGCATTCTGCAATTTAGTCCACATTGAATCAGATACCTACAATTCAAAACAGAAATGGAGTTTACATAAAAAGTTCCTTTATGGATACTTAATAATGATACGAGAGCCACACTAGCTAGAAAGAGAACTATGCATGAGAACTTACCGAATCACAGAACAGATGGATTGGGACTTCGTTAATTGGTGAGCCAGTAATCAGCAAACAGTAGTTGTTCAGTGGACTAAACAAGCTTGAAAGCCGACGTGACATAGCCTTATATTTTGTCAGCATTTCAAAGAACTCAGTTAACAGTGGAACATTTTCTTTGTTGTCCAAAGCTGGAAGTACCTAAGATGGGAAGAAGAGAAAATTAAGATATGAGACCAACGTCACAACACAAGTATATATTTGTACTTTGGTAAACAACATAAGATAAAAAGAACTAAACAAATATATACACAATTAATTTAGCTAGACACTTTTGGAATTTCCAGAAAAAGAAAAGACCATATGAGACGAACAGCCTGAAATGCATAACAAACAGCTAGTTCAATAATTTAATTCCAAAATGAGCTAGCGAAGTTAAACACATTTTGGAATAATGCACTACATTCCGAACATTGATTTTATATATCGAATATCAGAAGAAGAAAAATTGCAGTTGAACATTATGAATATGAGCAGAAATTATTATTGTAAATAATGCCATTTGTGATGATCTGCTTACATATCCACATGTTAATATACACGGTGAATTTAGAACTTCATTTAAAGACAAAATAATAAACGTTGAACCATCAACAGAAAGACGTGATTGACAAACCGATCCTTGGACGCTAGTTTTTAGCATTACACCAGCATAAAGAAGTTATGAAAAAAATTTGAACACTAAATTTCCAAGAATTTAATTAGGCAAGTCTCTTAAAAAAAAATCATCTTTTGAATTGGTCCAAACTCATTTTAGATCTAATTGGATTCAACCGATATCATATGTACCATATTTAAAATCTCACCACCGAAACCATGCTCTCTCGGAACGCATTAACAAACTTCTCGTATAGTTGGTTGGCTCGGCTGCCATATCTGTTAAAATTTGACAGAGAGAAAGCACATCTGCTACAAGAGTTAAAGGAAATATGATCTAAAACACCATGTACATATCAAAATTTATTTAAAACAAATAGAATTGTTGATGCAAAAATCTGCACGCTCCGGAGCCGGTGACGATTTCTGCAAGATAAGAGAGAAGTAATGACCGGCGTGGTGCTGGCCGGGTGCACTCCAACGGTCAAGTTAGTCCTTGACCATTCAATCTCTGATAAAGGATCAAATAGGGGATTTATGGCGTACCTTTTTAGATTGATCGAATCCTTCTTTTGTAGAAAGATTTATTTTCCTTGTCTATTACGGATTGTAAGAGTCATTGGATAGGGTAGTAGTTGTTATTTTTATCTCCTTAAGTTTATCCATACCCTTTGAGTCTCCATGTCACGTGAAATTTTTATCTAATCGAATATTCCGTATCAAGTATAAACACTTAATTTGATTATGAAATTAAACCATCTATATGTATTTAGGATACGTATAGAAAGTTATATATTCCTCTGAGGTAAACGATATATTAGAGTCACCATCCATTATCTTCTTTGTCCTGAAAATTGCATCATCTAGCATCTGCAGCCTTTTTTCTGCCGTCATTTGATGTCTTTCACAGTCATATCCAAATGAGCAAGAGCATTCTGATTTCAATCACAACAAACAAAAGATAAAGAGTGAAAATGTATATATAGACACTAACTATTAAAAAAAGAAGAAGAAGAAGCTAGAGGATGTTATTTGGACATTTATTTTCATATTTATTAAAAAAAAGAAAAGAAAAAAGAAATACATGTAGAATTTCTTGAGAACTATCAATAGCCTGCCAAGGTCTTGTTTGAAAGGCCAAAAAACTAACTAAAACTAATGTTAGCGCTTGTCTGAGTAGGTTCAAGTCGAATAATACATAATAATAATAATAGAAACAAAAAATAATTTCAATTCAAGTTAAACCTAATAGAACCTCTAATTAAATCACATAAATAAGAATAGATTATCTCAAATTATTTATTTATTTTTTACCCTGCTAGATAAGCTGAAAAGCTAGAACTTCGATTTGTTATAAACAAAAAAGAAAAAAAGAAGGAAAAAAACCCTAAAAAGTTAAGAGTCCAATTTGATTTAAGAACATAAACAAATAGAAAACCCCTAGAGCAACATTGTGTTGATTTACATTGTAGAGATTATAAAACATCAAGGAAACCCTAGATCTACATTGTCTTGTATGCCTGTGAAGTTCTTTTTGGTAGTTTGTGTAAAATCTAAACTGAGATCATGTGTGTATATTTCAATATTACCCCTTGATAAAATCCATCTAAAAAAAATTCTGCAAAGGAGGTCATGATCAGCACAAAGTCACCACAAATCCTAAAATCTGTTTATAATTGAAGAATCATCTCTCTCTCTCTCTCTCTATATATATATCAATGAAGTTGCATCACAAATAAAGGGGAATGTGCTTAACCATTAATTCGCTATCACATGCAAATACAAGACACACATACAGATTAAGCATTGAACTCTAATCTACCATCAAAAGAAAAAAAACCCCAAGTAACAATTGATGATCAAAAGATGCATGATAAAAAAAATAAAAAAAAATACCCTAGATATGATTCTATTGTGATAGGATTTGATAGGGAAAGAGTGAAAAAACGTACCCATCTCTTCACTCGTGTGTTTTCCGATCATTATTCTAGCAGATTGATGAATTCTTGTGGTGCATGCAATGAAGAAAAGGAGCTGAGATTTTTTAGATTATAAATGGAGACATATATAGATAGATACACAGAGTTTATAGGAGTTACTTAGTGAGAGTTCAATTTGTAAGTAGAGAGAGAGAGAGAGAGAGAGTTGTGTCTCGAGAATCACGCTAGGTCTAGGAGTCTGTGTTGTTCCGCCTGGTTGGTCCCACATAAGGGAAACAACAGCGCCTCAAAATGTTTTTCGATCTTTATTTCACGACATTAAGTGGGAAAAAAAAAGTGGGACTTGTAGACCATAGTTGAAATTGATGTCACTATGGCCCCCACAAAATCTGCCATGTGTAATACCCCGGTATCACACCATGTGGACTACAGTGTCAACTTAGGCAGGTGGTAAAAGAACATTGTTACTCAAATTGAACAGGAGTAAATGAAAATAATAAAACAACCAACATGTCTTCTATGATTCTATCCATGAAGTTAACCGTAATTTTCTTTTGAGCTTAAATCTATCTATGATCTGTTTCTTATTAAAAGAGTTTTGTTTATTTTTGCTTAACTCATCATGCTAGCTGCATATATATATATATATATATATATATATATATTATAGTTCATTGTCTTTTATCTAATTGTTTGATTTTTTTCGAAAGGTAATTAATTATAAAAAAGAGCAATGATAGATAGCACCTTCATTTAATAGTGTGTCACTATATGTTTTTTATTAATGATAAACAAGAACTTACTATTAGACACCTCCGAACAACCAATAACCTTAACTTATCGCATTTTTAGCAGTTGGTTTCATGTCTCTTTATAACCAGCGGAAGTGAAATTACTTCATATGTTAAATGGTACAAAGATAAGAAAATGTTGATTATACTCCGACATTTCGTAATTTTTTGGAATGATGAATAATTTTTTTTTGTGTTGTGCTTACATTTGTAACGTATCGCATTCTTAATAGTCGGTTTCATTTTCCTTCACAAGAAGTAAATGAAAAGCTACTTTATGGGTACACGTAAAAAGGTCCTAAGACGAGACTTATCATTATACTCCAACATCTCATATTTTTTCATAGTTACTAATAAATTTTCGTGTTGCGCAAGTACTCTTAACATGTCACATTCTTAATGGTTGTCTTCAATATTTCCTCTACAAGTAGATGAAAATTTACTTTTTTGGTACATGCAAAAATGTCGAAAGACCGAGAAAAATATTATTCTACTGTGATTTTTCATATCTTTATTAGCATGGACCATAAATTTTGTTAGAATTTAGTTTGTAATCTATTTGAATTTGAATTGCCTTAATTATAATTGATTATATTGCTCTCACAATAGAAGGTAGAAAATTTTCATTAATTGAAGCATTATTGTTTAGATTTTGATATTGTTCCAAATAATTCCTCTTAATTGAGGTAGAAAAGAACAGAACAAATTTTCTAGCTAGATGGTGAAAAAAAAAATTCATGCAAATTCTATCATCCCAAACAGTCCTTAGGACATATTTTTTATTTATATTCTTTTTGGGGGCCTGTGCTCCAGCCCAAGCTGCAGAATGACGTATATAATATTTACTCAGATATATATATATATATATATAACACTTGCTTAAACTTCCCGGAGAAAAAAAAAAAAAAGAAAAAGAAAAAGACATTTAGAGGAACATTGATTTGCAGTTTCAATCACCATATTCCCAAACATGGATTTATTGCATGGATGGCTCTTAAGGAAAGATTGGCAACATTGGATACCAAACCTATGCTAAAGAAACATTATACAAATGCTTGCTACTTATGTCTTGCAGAGAGTGAATCAGTGGACCACATTTTATTCAAATGCCAATTCAGCAGCATTGTGTGGGATTTTGTTCAGCACGCAGCAGGATTCTACATCAAGCCAGACAATTGGAAGGATCTTGTAGCTTGGTGCTCTTCAGCGTGGACTCAGGAGCATTTCATTACCCATAAGTTACTTCTCTCATGTGCCATTTACTACATATGGCAGGAAAGTAATTCAAGAGCTTTCAGGAACAAAATAGCTTCTGCTCTTCATATTATTCATCGCATCAAAGGGTGTATCAAAGCAAGGTTTGCCTCACTCAAGTTAAGAAACAGTGCTGAGTTATGCAAAATCAATTCAGTGGAGGCAATGCAGCAACTCTTCTTGCAAGGATGTTCATTTGCGTCTGGTCAATCATGGTTTCTAATATGATATGAATCTGTTCTCAGTACAGGTGCTTGTAGCTCACAGTGAGCTGCAAAGTCTTTTGGTTGGTTTTGTCTGTCCCATTTGTATGTAGTAACTGTTCTGTGTTTGCTTGGTTTAGTCTTTGGTGCTTGCCTTGGAGCTTGTTCCTGGGCTTTGTTCAATTGACTCTGTTATTCATATTTTCTCTTTATTAAAGCTTACCCTTTTAACCAAAAAAAAAAAAAAAAAAAACATTGATTTGCAGTCAATGACAATGCTTCAAGCCTAGAAGCAAATTAACCACCAAGATGGAAGCTGGGTTGAAAACCTAAAAAGGAGAAGATGAATTACACAACCTGAAATGATAGAAGAATCAAAATAATAGTTTGTTTGTGATAGGAAAGAAGAGCACAAAAAGTTGCCTTCAGGACTTGCTGTATGTTCTTGTAAATTCTTCATTTTCTTATACACAAGCTTACCTTTTAACTATAAAAAATATATATCTCAATTTTTTGAAATAACCAATAATTATTTGTGTTGTGTACGCATTCGTAACGTGTCGCCTTTCGTAGTGGTTGCACGTCACGTAAAAAGGTGAAAGATAACAAGAATATGATTATATTGTGACATCTGGTATCTTTTTTAGAACATGGTCCAAATACCAACCCGGGGTAATTTTGTTGAAATTCATTTGTAATCTATTTGGATTTGAATTGCCTTAAGATTGATCATATTGCTCTCACAATTGAAGCTAGAAAAATTTCATTAATTGAAGCATTGTTGTGAGTTGCTTTTCTTCAATTTCACAAATTTTAATTTCAAAACTTCAATTCCATATAACCGGACACAATCTCACTTTGAACTGTGATAGACTCAAATCAGCAATTAGGTAAATCAACTACTTATAACCTAAGTTCGGGTTGATAATTTCAGATAGATAGATGAATATGACACTGAGTCAAAAGTAGTCTGTCTATTCAACTATATATGATAGGTCCATGGGCATAGAAAGGGTGTCTCTTCATAAGTACCAAAACGAACATCAAATGACCCATCCATTTCATTATATATATATATATATATATATATATATACCAAATTGATCAAATTTAGTAAAAAGGATATGCCAGAATAATGTTATAACAAGGTAGTACCAAGAAAAAAAATAAGAGATTGGGTTTTAACAAAAGGACCATTCGACCCACAAGCATGAGTTTATGCAAATTGTATCATTGAAATCTAGCCATGATAATTTTATTTGTAATTCAATCCACCTGTGAGAAGAAAAAATGGAAAATTCACCTGCAGATGAGGTTAATATGATGGATATACTAATTTCCATATGTTTTGGCAAGAAATTTTTCATTCAATAATAAAGACATAACAAATCCATTCAAATTTTAATAGTAATTCCAAGCATATATTTCTGCTATATATGTGTGTGTCTCATTGGAAAATCAACAATTGGTTTATATCACTCCAAACAATGGTGGTGCCATGACTAGGGCTGACGACAGATCAGTTCAGTCAGATTTCTCTTGCTAAAATTCAGCAACTCAGCTCTTATAAGAGCAACTCCAATGCTCTCTCATTTGGGTCTCTCAAACTCAAAATATGAGAGTTGGGTAAAAAAGAGCCTCTCTAATGGACTCTTATTTAAATTCTCAAATTTCTTCTCAAATATGACAGCTGCCAAATTTTTTTGGCAAGTCCCTCATTTCCCAAAACGGTGCCGTTTCTCACCGGTCATCACCAACTCGCATCTGTATATGTATATGTATATTATATATATATATAATATATAATATATATAAATTTTCGAAAGAAAAATTATATAAAAAAATTAATTCACAAATAGTGGTAAAAAAATTATAAATTTTTTTTTTTGTTTGTTTGTCCTTTTTTGATCAGATATTTTAGATTTGTACTTATTTTTAATTAAGTTTAATTTTAGTTTCCTTTTAATGTCTACAACTTGACTTGGAATGTGCCTAATATTAATATTACTGCTGCAAATATGAATTGTGGGAATGGTAGTTGAAAAAGAATAGTGGTTGTATTAAAAAATAGCATTTTGCGTGAAATGTACCATTGGAGTAGAATTGTTAAAGTGTAGCATTTTGGCACTGTAACACTTGTCAAAATATAGATTTGGCATGCAAAAATAGGTTTTAACATTGGAAATGCTCTTAGACCTGCATGACCAAAAAGATCGATGTTCTTACAACCTGCGAGACAAATGCAAAGCGGTATATAATTGAGCATGTATAAATGACCACTTCATATGGAAACAAGATTCGAAGGATCCATGTAATGCCTTATAACTTCAAATGCAGTGTGACAAGGCCATAGCTTCTTTTATTACCCCAAAAAAAGAAAGTAGCCATAGTGCTTGGCTTCTCAAGCTGATGCAGTAATACAATGAGCTATATTTTCCTATAATTTACTTGAAATGTAAAGCAAATTATTTTTAATGGCGGCATAATTAATATTGAATGAGGTGAAATTCAAGAAGATAAATTTTCCTAAAGTTGTCATTTGAAACATTGACATAAGAATAATTGAATCACAAACTAGTATTTTCGCGCTGCAACTGAAATGAATAGACAATCGCGTACCTTTAGCAACTGGTTTATTGTGTACTCAGGGAAATAAGGTCTCATTGTTCTTTCTTCATAGTTTAAGTACCACAACCTGAAATGATAGAAGAAATATTAAGCAAAACAACAGTTTGTTTGTGACAGTATTTATTGGCGCACACACATACATACATATATATATATTGAACACAACCTTTCGGATATAAGTGTCAAAAGAACAACAGAGAAGCCACTTGGAAGCTAGTCAAGAGTAGCAAGCAGTATTATCGGCGACGATGGCCTCCTCAAGAGCCTTTTATTCTTCCCATTTTTTCATTTCCAGAAAGAATTCAATGCTAGTCTTGAGCAGGCGCCGGCCATTACTAGTCAGCTTCCCCACACATTTTCGATTAACCTGTACATAGCATCTTTATTATTTAACTCAAAGGCGAATGAAATTAATAGTTCTTAATTATATAAAAACAACTAATTATTGAAATGGAATTCATTTCAACAAACCAAGTGAATAACTGCATTCTGCAATTTAGTCCACAATGCCTCAGATACCTACAGTTCAAAACAGGAATGAACTTTACATATATATATATATATATATATATATATATATATTATATTTAATAATGAATGATATGAGAGCCACACTAGCTAGAAAGAGAATTATGAGAACCTACTGAATCACAGAATGTACGGATTGGGACTTCTGAGCCTACTGAATCACGGTAGGTCTTACTGAATGCATTCATAAACTTCTCATAAAGTTGGTTGGTGTAGGTGCAAAATTTCTCTCTATAAAAAAATTTAAAAGAAATAATACAACTCATTCAAAATAAAACAATAAGTAATAAGAATTATTCAGAGAGAAGCGTATATTGCTCGATGATCTTTATTGGAGGTCTAGATCTCTATTTATATACAATAAGGTAGCGGAATTATGGTAAAACTCGCCTTACTTGTCCTCCAATTCATTCCATATACATCATTATTTGTAAATAGAATTCTTTCCTTTTCATAATTCTTTCCATGCCAAACTTTCCTTGCATTTAGCTTTCCTTCTATGATGAATCCTTTGACTAGCAGGACTGGTTCTTCTTTAAATGAATTTGGGCCGAATGCATCTTGATTCGAATGACTTTGTTAATGGGCTGGAAGTTCAACATTAGCGACCTTGGGCTGTTGGTGTCTTTATCTGGGCTTGAACATGGTTGGGCTTTTGTAACCCATCAAGAGATTAAAAATAAAACTTCTATTGTGGCTACGTGGATGACTTTTATTGGAGGGGGATTTTTCCCTCCACACTTTACCCCCAATTCCCTCTTTAATTGGACTATGGCTCCTAATTAAAAGGAAATTGAAGTTGCAAGGTTGCCTATTTTGCAAGAGGCGGTTCAAGGAATGTCTATTACGATTCTTGCTTTTGCCCCTGCTGCATTCATTGTACTCACTGTGTTCCTTGCTTCGTCGTGACTCCAGGTTAGTTCTTCATCAATTTCTTTGATTTCATACCATGAGCACCTCACCCACTCACGACCCTGTAGAGATTGTAGATTTTGAATCTACACCCTCGTCTTCCCCTAATCTCATTAGGGTTCCTCCTCCACGGGTTTCTAACCCTCCTGAATCCATAAACGATTCGACCGTGCTAATGGGTGATTCTCTTCCCCAAGCTGAAGTGTCTACTTCCGGAGGATCAAATAGTATTTTCTCAAAGAAAGAGAGAAAAATGATTTTGTCTATTCGGCGTATCAAGTTCACCATCGAATCTACGATGGAGGAATTTGAAATCCCCGAGGAAGTAGAAATTGCTGCGTACCCTGAGAGAGTCGATTTCACTTCAGGTGAAGGGGTTGAGGAGAATGAGTTACTTTTATCGGTTGGGCATCTTCATGTATTCGTTTTCCTCTTCGCCCTTTCTATCATTTAGTTTTCAATAGGTTAGGCATTGCCCCTCTTCAAGTCAACCCTAACTTTCTTTAAATAATGTCAGCTCTTCTTATTCGCCAAAGGCTAAAGAGTCTTGACTTAATTCTTGCGGACCTTTTGATTACTTATTCCATCTCCAAACATGGAACCGAGCCTGGTCATTTTTATTTTACTTCTTCTCATCAGCAAAGGGTTTGTACGGACCTCCCTTCCTCCGACAAGAGGTGGAAATTAAAAGAGAATGATAATTGTTAGGGGGAACTGGTTTGTGTCTCAATCGAGTAAACTCCCTGCTCTTTGCAAATTTGGGAAGTTAGGTATAAAATATTCTCCCTCTCTTCATAAGAATGCTCTGGTTGCTTCCCATGCCAAGTTTTACTCTTCCGTCATACTTACAAATTTCTTAGTGTTTTTTCAGCTACATTTCCCTCATTTGTGTTTAAAAACAGGCTTGCCTTTCTGGAAGAACAAGTTTGGAGTCATCCTCCTTCTATTGAGGACTTG